ATATACACATAGCTATATATACACATAGCTATATATAGCTATATATATATATAGCTATATATACATAGCTATATATAGCTATATATATATATAGCTATATATAGCTATATATATATATATATATAGCTATAGCTATAGCTCAGCACTGTGTAATCTGTGCTGAGTCTGTGTGCATCACACTGTGTTGGTCATGTTGCGGTTGTTGTTGTTATCCATTATTGTTTTTGTTGGTTTCTACTTTTTGGTGTCCTGTTATGTAATCTGTTGCGATGTGCTTGTTCTGTTTGTCCCTGTACAGCACTTTGGTGTGCTTTGTCACTGTTTAAAGTGCTTTATAAATAAATTGGTATGGTATGGTATGGTATATATATGTAGGTCCTAGGTGAGGGACCAGACAAAGTTCAGCCCAAAGACCCCGATGAAGAGAAAAACAAATGGACTTAATGTTCCCTTGCCCGGACGTGGGTCACCGGGGCCCCACTCTGGAGCCAGGCCTGGAGGTGGGGCACGCGGGCGAGCGCCTGGTGGCCGGGCTTTTACCCATGGAGCTCGGCCGGGCACAGCCCGAATAAGAGACGTGGGTCCCCCTTCCCATGGGCTCACCACCTGTGGAAGGGCCAAAGGGGTCGGGTGCAATGTGGGATGGGTGGTGACCGAGGGCGGGGACCCTGGCGGTCTGATCCTCGGCTACAGAAGCTGGCTATTGGGACGTGGAATGTCACCTCACTGGTGGGGAAGGAGCCTGAGCTGGTGTGTGAGGCTGAGAGGTTCCGGCTAGAAATAGTCGGACTCGCCTCTACGCATGGCTCTGGCTCTGGAACCAGTTTCCTTGAGAGGGGCTGGACACTCTTCCACTCTGGAGTTGCCCCTGGGTACTGGAAAGTGCACCTCCTGGGGACTCCCTTGTTCTGCTGGGGGACTTCAATGCTCATGTGGGCAATGACAGTGAGACCTGCGGTTGGGAGGAACGTCCCCCCTGATCTGAACCTGAGTGGTGTTCTGTTGTTGGACTTCTGTGCTTGTCATGGATTGTCAATAACGAACACCTTGTTCAAGCATAAGGGTGTCCATATGTGCTCTTGGCACCAGGACACCCTAGGCCGCAGTTCGATGATCAACTTTGTCATTGTTTCATCTGATCTGCGGCCACATGTCTTGGACACTCGGGTGAAGAGAGGGACGAAGCTGTCCACTGTAGTAACCTTTTTTTTTTTTTACAATTATTATACAATGAAATACTACATAATACATTCAAACCGAACAACAAAACCTTTTTACAGGCCCAAGCATTTGTTTAACAAATAAAAGTACTGTATAAATGTTTTTTTTACAAATAACTACTGTACTGGAGAGACTGTTTAGCCAATCAGAATGAAGAACACAATGCACGATGCAAATCCGTGAAGCAGTGATACCGTGAAAGGTGAACCGCGTTATAGTGAGGGTTCACTGTATATAAATGTGTGTGTGTGTATTAGTAATGTTATACTTGTAGTTCTCACTTAAATGAATTGTTTGTCTGAAATGCCAATGCAGTCAATACTAACCGGTAATTAACAGGTAATATACATCTAATTAATTAGATGGGTAATTATCAGGCTCCTCTCTTGTGGAACAAACTTCCAATCTCTGTCTGTGAGGCTGACACATTATCCAGTTTTAAAACTAGGCTTAAGACTTTCCTTTTTGATAAATAAAGTTTGATAAATAAAGTTAGTGTCGGCTTGGGTTTCCTGAGCTGTCCCTTAGTTATGCTGCTATAGGCTTAGACTACTGGAGGACAAACTGACCACATTTTTCACTCTGCTACTGTCTTTACTTATCCGGCTCAACCTGTTTTGTATTTGTAATTATTTTTTCTATCGTCTTTCAGGTACACCTGGACCTATATCTGGACCTGGACCTATATCTGGACTTACCATTCTGTGTTCATCTGTCTCTCCTTCCTGTCCTCTCAAACCAGCTGGTCAAAGCAGATGGCCGCTTGTCCTGAGCCTGATTCTGCTGGAGGTTTCTTCCTGTTAAAAGGGAGTTTTTCTTTCCACTGTTGCCACTGTGTTTGCTCAGGATGGGAGACTGCAACGAAGCCAAGATTCAACTTGTCTGCTGGATTCCATAGATAGAGAACTTTACTAACTGGCTTTTATGTATGTGAATGTTTCTGTAAAGTGCCCTGAGACAACTTTGTTGTGATTTGGCGCTATATAAATAAACTGAATTGAATTAATAAAACCTTCACCATACGTGACTGTTTAAACAATGAACAGGAAAGGGTGTTTCTTTGTTTAATTTATATTTTTGTAACACACTTGATAACTTGTCAAAAATATATCACCTGGTCAGCCTACTTCCATCTACAAAATATTCATTGTCTCCATCCTTCCCTCACTCCTCACTCCATTGCTGTTCTGGTCCACAGTCTGGTCACCTCTCGTTTAGATTACTGCAATTCTCTTCTTTTTGACCTATCACAGAAAACCCTCCATAAATTACAACTGGCCCAAAATTCAGCTGCCCGTATCATTACATGGACCCCCCTCAATCCATCACATCACACCCGTTTTACAACAGCTTCATTGGCTTCCTATCCCACATCAACTACAAAATATTCATCCTTACCTTCAAAGCTGTCCACAATCTCGATCCTCCATACCTTTCAGACCTTCTTCACCGTGCTACACCTGCTTGTACCCTCAGATCCTATTCTTCTATTCAGCTCATTGTTCCCCTTGCCCGTCTTGTTACTATGGGGAGCAGAGCATCCAGCTGCTCTGGGACTCACTCCCGCCTGATATTCACATCACAGACTCATTGCCACATTTCAAATCCAAACTCAAAACTCATCTGTTTAAAGTAGCTACGCACTGTGATTGCAACTGCAAGGTCTTATTTTAATTATATTTTTTACTTGTTTTTACTGTGTATATAATATTGTCTGTTTCTATGCTCAACTATGTAAGGTGACCTTGAGTGCCAAGAAAGGCGCCAACAAATAAAATGTATTATTACTATTATAACTTTATGGGGAATAGTGGAGGATAGAAAATGTGAACGCATGTTAGGAAGACTGACTAAATGTTAAAACAGGTTTAAAGGTAGCTGTTTGATTCTTGGGGATGGACAAAGCTCAAACATTTTCAGCCAGTACATCGACTAGCACATTAGTACATTAACCTTCCCCTGCCATGATTGGTATCAGAGAGCCAAAATTTCCATATTGGTCAGGCTTGAATATATATATATATATATATGTACACTCAAACTTCCAGATACTTTGAAACAACGCATGAACATTTTCATTAACTTTGAAAGACAAAATGAATAGTTTTGAGTCTCTTACCAAGAATTTCATCAAAGATTTTGTACAGCCCTGGAACATAGGTGATTTCCCTCTGATTCATCCCAACGTCCTCATCAAACACCCACATTTGCTGAAAAGAGTCAAGACATAAAGCATTAGGTGGGCAGCAGCGTCAGGGACAAAACGAAATGAACTCATTCATCCTCCTGATCTCAGAGCTCACTCTCTTCTGTGGCATTAGGTTTGTTCAATTCAATTCAAAAATACTTTATTAATCCCAGAGGGAAATTATTTGTTGTTGTATCCTGATGCATGCTCAACAAGTTATTTGTTGTTGTAACTCGTTATCCTCATTTCATTAAGAGATGTTATAGATGCTGATGGCTGTAGACCGGAAGGACCTCCCGCAAAGGTCCACCCCACAGTAGCTCCCAAGAAACCGGCCGCAGATGCCGCCCGACCTGTCCACCAAGACCCGGCCGGCCTCTCAGCCCACCCGGGCCGCAGGACCACCCGAACACCAGGCAGAACTCCCAGAGCAATGGCCACTACTCCCCCCAGCAGTCTGCCGAGCCCCCCACCGCTGCGGACAGCCAACTGCAGGCGCCGAGGAACGACCCCGTCCCCCCACTGCCACGAGCCACGTCCCCCACCAGCTCCAGGATCCCAGCAGCCAGGCACCCGAGCACAGCCGGCAGGTAGATGAGAATGCGTCCACAGAACATCCTTTTCAACTCATTTGGGATTTGAGGCTGTAGTTGAGATATTATTTGAGCTTTTGAGATGTTAATTAGCTGCTGTTGGTTGTAGAAAACTGCCTCGTTGCCATGGTTAGGCATCATAACAAATGTCAAAAACTAAAAAAGTTTCAGTAAAAATCCTTCCAGCTGCATGGCATCCGATATCAGAGGAAACAATCATCAAAAAAATGTGATTTACATCCAGAAAAAGAGGAATAAATGTTTCCAAACGTAAAATCTCAGAATGAAAGTAACAGAGCTGCTCCAACATGCAGCCATCTTGAGCGGCGCAATTCTAGAACATGAATATGGGTTGCCTCTTCAGGACTACAAACATCACAATGCTGATAAAACAGTCCTGTTTCATCAATACTGTGATGTTGATGTGATTGAGAACCAATTTACTGAGGGTGGACAAAACGACCTTAGCACCACAATAAGTGGATTTAGTTTTATTGGTTTCTACACTGGTTCCTGTTTAAGGAACAGTTACAGAAGAAAACCTGTTACAGCTCTTCCAGAGATGAAGACATGAGGAAGACGTTCTGTCATTTTAGCATCACACATTTAAAATGTTATGATCTGATGACAATAGGAGATGATATAGAGTAAGTACTGAAGGTAGCTTTTATCTACTGGTATTTGGGGATAAATGGGCTCATTGGATACAAATGCTTACAAATGCAAATACAAATACAAACACACTGCTGCAAACAGAGAAAAGTTTAAAACTGACACATACAGGGTTACTGCAGAAACTTGAGAAATTTACAACACAGGCAACTAAACCCCCTGCTGGGTAGTGTCAAATCATTTTGAATTGGGTTCTAGGCATCCCAGGAATCAGAAAAACCTAACGAAAATGTTAGAACAGATACCAACTTACAGTGCCTTGCGAAAGTATTCGGCCCCCTTGAACTTTTCAACCTTTTGCCACATTTCAGGCTTCAAACATAAAGATATAAAATTTTTATTTTTTGTTAAGAATCAACAACAAGTGGGACACAATCGTGAAGTGGAATGAAATTTATTGGATGTGTCAAACTTTTTTAACAAAAAACCCTGAAAAGTGGGGCGTGCAATATTATTCGACTCCCTTGTGTTAATACTTTGGAGCGCTGCCTTTTGCTGCAATTACAGCTGCAAGTCGCTTGGGGTATGTCTCTATCAGTTTTCCACATCAAGAGACTGAAATTTTTGCCCATTCTTCCTTGCAAAACAGCTCAAGCTCAGTGAGGTTGGATGGAGAGCGTTTGTGAACGGCAGTCTTCAGCTCTTTCCACAGATTCTCGATTGGATTCAGGTCTGGACTTTGACTTGGCCATTCCAACACCTGGATACGTTTATTTGTGAACCATTCCATTGTAGATTTGGCTTCATGTTTTGGATCATTGTCTTGTTGGAAGATAAATCTCCGTCCCAGTCTCAGGTCTCTTGCAGACTCAAACAGGTTTTCTTCCAGAATGGTCCTGTATTTGGCCCCATCCATCTTCCCTGTCCCTGCTGATGAAAAGCAGGCCCAAACCATGATGCTGCAACCACCATGTTTGACAGTGGGGATGGTATGTTCAGGGTGATGAGCTGTGTTGCTTTTACACCAAACATATCGTTTTGCATTGTGGCCAAACAGTTCAATTTTGGTTTCATCTGACCAGAGCACCTTCTTCCACATGTTTGGTGTGTCTCCCAGGTGGCTTGTGGCAAAATTTAAACAACACTTTTTATGGATATCTTTGAAAAATGGCTTTCTTCTTGCCACTCTTCCATAAAGGCCAGATTTGTGCAGTGTACTATGGACAGACTCTCTCACCTCAGCTGTAGATCTCTGCAGTTCATCCAGAGTGATCATGGGCCTCTTGGCTGCATTTCTGACCAGTCTTCTCCTTGTTCAAGATGAAAGTTTAGAGGAACGGCCAGGTCTTGGTAGATTTGCAGTGGTCTGACACTCCTTCCATTTCAATATGATTGCTTGCACAGTGCTCCTTGGGACGTTTAAAGCTTGGGAAATATTTTTGTATCCAAATCCGACTTTAAACTTCTCCACAACAGTATCTCGGACATGCCTGGTGTGTTCCTTGGTCTTCATGATGCTCTCTGCGCTTTGAATAGAACCCTGAGATTATCACAGAGCAGGTGCATTTATACGGAGACTTGATTACACATAGGTGGATTCTATTTATCATCATCAGTCATTTGGGACAACATTGGATCATTCATAGATCCTCACTGAACTTCTGGAGTGAGTTTGCTGCACTGAAAGTAAAGGGGCCGAATAATATTGCATGCCCCACTTTTCAGTTTTTTATTTGTTAAAAAAGTTTGACACATCCAATAAATTTCATTCCACTTCACGACTGTGCCCCACTTGTTGTTGATTCTTCACCAAAAATTAAAATTTTATATCTTTATGTTTGAAGCCTGAAATGTGGCAAAAGGTTGAAAATGTCAAGGGGGTCGAACACTTTCACAAGGCACTGTATACAGGTCCTTCTCAAAAAATTAGCATATTGTGATAAAGGTCATGATTTTCCATAATGTAATGATAAAAATGAAACTTTCATATATTTCAGATTCATTGCACACCAACTGAAATATTTCAGGTCTTTTATTGTTTAATTCAATTCAATTCAATTCAAAAATACTTTATTAATCCCAGAGGGAAATTATTTTGTTGTTGTAACTCGTTATCCTCATTTCATTAAGAGATGTTATAGATGCTGATGGCTGTAGACAGGAAGGATCTCTTGTAAAGGTCCATCTCACAGTGGATCCTAAGAAACTGGCTGCAGATGCCGTCCGATCCGTCCACCCAGACTCGGCTGGCCTCCTGGTTCCCCTGGACTGTAGGACCGCTTGAATGCTGGGCAGAACTCCTCCCAGAGCGATGGCCACTCCTCTCAGAAGTCTGCCGAGCTCCTCATAGCTGCGGACAGCCAACTGTAGGTGCTGAGGGACGATCCTGTTCTTCCGCTGTCGTGAGCCATGTTTCCTGCTAGTTCCAGGATCTCAGTGGTCAGGTACTCGAGGACAGCTGGCAGGTAGATGAGAATGCGTCCATAGAACATCCTTTTCAACTCATTTGAGAGTTGGGGCCATAGTTGAGAAATTATTTCAGCTTTTGAGATGTTATTCAGCTGCTGTTGTTGTAGAAAACTGCCTTGTTGCCATGGTTACGCATCATAACAAATGTCCAAAACTAAAAAAAAAAAAGTTTCAGTAAAAATCCTTCCAGCTGCACAGCATCCGATACCAGAGGAAACAATCATCCAAAAAATGTGATTTACATCCAGAAAAAGAGGAATTAAAGTTTTCTAAAGCAAAATCTCAGAATGAAAGTAACAGAGCTGCTCCAACATGCAGCCACCTTGAACGGCGCAATTCTAGAATACTGATGATTATGGCATACAGCTCATGAAAACCCAAAATGCCTGTCCCAAAAAATTAGCATATTCATCCCACCAATGAAAGACAAGTGTTTTTAATACAAAAAACGCCAACCTTCAAATAATCATGTTCAGTTATGCACTCAATACTTGGTCGGGAATCCTTTTGCATGAATGACTGCTTCAATGCGGCATGGCATGGAGGCAATCAGCATGTGGCACTGCTGAGGTGTTATGGAGGCCCAGGATGCTTCGATAGCGTCCTTAAGCTCATCTAGAGTGTTGGGTCTTGCGTCTCTCAACTTTCTCTTCACAATATCCCACAGGTTCTCTATGGGGTTCAGGTCAGGAGAGTTGGCAGGCCAATTGAGCACAGTAGTACCATGGTCAGTAAACCATTTACCAGTGGTTTTGGCACTGTGAGCAGGTGCCAGGTCGTGCTGAAAAATGAAATCTTCATCTCCATAAAGCTTTTCAGCAGAAGGAAGCATGAAGTGCTCCAAAATCTCCTGATAGCTAGCTGCATTGACCCTGCGCTTGATAAAACACAGTGGATCAACACCAGTAGCTGTCATGACACCCCAGTGACTGTGGAAACTTGACACTGGACCTCAAGCAATGTGAATTCTGTGTCTCCTCTCTTCCTCCAGACTCTGGGACCTTGATTTCCAAAGGAAACGCAAAATTTACTGTAATCAGAGAACATAACTTTGGACCACTCAGCAGCAGTCCAAGGCGAGATGCTTCTGACGCAGTCTCTTGTTCAAGAGTGGCTTGACCTGGGGAATGCAGCACCTGTAGCCCATTTCCTACACACGCCTGTGCACGGTGGCTCTGGATGTTTCTACTCCAGACTCAGTCCACTGCTTCCGCAGGTCCCCCAAGGTCTGGAATCGGCCCTTCTCCACAATCCTCCTCAGGGTCCGGTCACCTCTTCTCGTTGTGCAGTGTTTTCTGCCACACTTTTCCCTTCCCACAGACTTCCCACTGAGGTGCCTTGATACAGC